AAGCAACGTGCCTCGTTTTAACATTCTCAACTACCAATTTTTCATTAGGTTTATTTTCCTCTGTTTTTTCTCAACAAGCATCATTTTTGTTCTTCCTAGTAGATTCTCCTTTCCCTATATTTCCTTTCAGGGTTTTGTTTGTATTTTAACTTTGTTGCACAGATGTGATAGTTTCTCTTGTATTTACTATTTGAGGCTGTGAGCTTAAATTCTAGTTATGCTTGAATTTACCACTACCAAAAAAAATCACCGTAATATGATTTTGATTTTGTACATAATTATTTCCTTTTTTGATTTGTAAATTTGCCTTAGGAAACACAATTTCCTTTAAAATGCACAAAAGCAATTTATTTCCTTGTTTATTCAATTGACATTATTCTAGCTATTTAATAAAGGAAATGCTTTGAAATTCTTATGGTATGCAAAGTTGTATTCACTGTTTGATTAACATAACTAGTAATAAATCATAAATAGTAATTCATACTTTTTAGGGAAAGTATGGATTGTGAATTACAAAAAGCAAAAGTATCTTGGTGTTGTATAAAAAGAACTTAATTTAGATCTGTAATCTGAAATGTGTTGGGGGTAAATTAGTGTTTCTCTGAAGTCTGCTTATTTAGGGGGTGGTGAGCTTTTCCAAACTACAGTAAAATAGGAAGACAATCTATGTAGGAGATTTAAGGTAGCATTTGAGGATCTGTAATTCTTATAGAAAAAATGGAAGCAGGAGTGAGTTTGACCAAAAGGTTCTTTAATCATTTGGGTTTGCATATTTGTTTTTATTTCAGCCACTCTTTAGATACATAAGCTCATGGAATTTTATAACTATCATTGATTTTAGGGATGTTTGTTATAGGCCTGATAAATTGTAATCATTGGTAGTAAGAGTTTTAAAGACATATAGACTCCAACTAAAATCAAGTTACTTTCTAAAGATACAATTAAAAAATGTTTCTTCAGGAATAGGAATGTTATGAATCAATGTAGTAATGTTAAGTTATCTGAACAAGTTTCAAAGTATATTTAAATAACACAAGGGGAGTAAAGGATAAGCTCATCCTGAGTCTAGTGTCCTTAAGTCAGGAGTGGCCTGCCTGCTCCTGCCTACATTCATTCAAATACTTCGCCAATTATTGAGATAAAAACCAAATAACCAAGTAATCTAATTTGCTTGAAAACCAGCTGTGATTTCCAGAGGAGTGCTATGGTTAGCAACGGAATCATTTTTCAGGGAGCTAATGAGAATTAACCACATCAGTCTGATATAGTTGTGTACTCGCTGTAGCCAGTTCAATCAAAAGTTTTTGGTCAACTTTCCTCCTAATAGCTCTTCTTATTTTTCAAAGGCCTTGCCCACTGATGCGGCTAATGTCCTGTTCATTAAATGCTTTCTGCTGAATATGCAGGCAGTGACACTCTTCCTTGTGTGGGTCTGCGCAGTCACCATCAAAGTGCTTCGACAATTTAGCACTACTTAAGAGGCTGCATTTCTTAACCTTCTCGTCTTAAGCCTTGAATGGAGGAGATAACACAGCAAACTGCTTTTTGAAGTCACATTGAACCCATTGACTTTCATCAATGAAGCATATCAGTAGTTGCAAACATTACAGTATAGATTAAACCCTTGAAGAGTTTCAACTATGTACAGAAATGAAAAGACAAATACAAAGGACTTTTTGTTGCTCAGAGTCTCTAAGATCAAATTGCCCCAGTCTTTCATAGTATATTCAAATACTACCTCTTGACTTATCATGGCACTGTAGAATTGTTTCACAAATAAGGAAAACTCAGATATTTGGTGCTACAGATGTTCTCTAATGCTCAAAACACCCCAGTTTATCTTTTCATTACTAGTGTATTAGCATTTAATTGGTACCGATTTATAAACTTTAGTAACATTGCCACCGAGTTTTATCTTTAATTGTGATGATGTATGTTCAGATTACCATATTAAAGAACTTCGTGTTGATCTAATTTGCAAGATTGTAAAGTTTTATCATGAAAACTACACTCTTTACTGAGAATACTTTCTACATTCAAAGATCCAAAGGGGGGTGGTGCAAAGAGAATGGAATGGAAAGATGTATGGCCTAACTCAGAGGTTCACAAACTTCCTTACAGAGCCATGCACCTTAGGTCTCTGTGTTATGTTCCTGTGGCTACAGTAACAAACTCCCCAGACTTGGTGGCTTAAAACAATAGAAATTCTTTCTATTCTGAACAATAGTTATTCTTTCAGTTCCGCTGCCTTAAGAAGTATGAGATCTCAAGAAGTGTGAGATCTCGGTGTCGGCAGGGCCACGCTCCTTTGAGATTCCGGGGAAGAATCTTTTCTGTGACTCTCTCCTAACTTCTAGGGGTTTCTCCTGGCTCCTACTGCCACTGATACCCTTAGTTCCCTTGGCTTATAGCTACATCACCCCAAGCTCTGCCTCTCCTCACTTGATCTTCTTTCCTCTGTGTCTGTGTGTATCTAAATCTCCCTCTCCTGTCTCTTACAAAGACGGGAGACCCCTGCCAATCCAGTACGCCCTCATCTTAACTGGATTCCACTGGCAAAGATCTATTTCCAAATAAGATCACATTCATAGATACCAGGAGTTAACATTTCAACATATCTTTTTGGAGGACACAATTCAGCCCATTGTAGCTTCTGCAGCAGCCACTCATGGGTAACTTTGTAGCATGAACGTGACCAAGGACACCAGGTAAACAAATCCATGTGCTGTGTTCCAGTAAAACCTTATTTATGAAACACCTGGTAGATCAGATTTGACTGGCAGACCTGGTCTAACTAATGGAAGCAAAATAGCAGCAAAAGAAAAGTAATTATAAAAACAATTAAATTCTACTTCGATTGGTTCATTTTTAAAGTACAAAAATGCATCTGTATGTGTGTTTAGAGCAGCACGTTATAAAACAGGTGACAACTAAGGATGAGAAATGAAACTTCTATAATGATTTTGAATCTCAAACTTTTACCACTAAGAACACTGGAATTTGTTTATTATATTTTTCTGGTCAGTTAAAAACTTTCTGGTGATCATTTGGTTTTGAGGGTCTATATGGCCTTTCCTCCGAAAAAATCGAGGATATTTTGGAAACACAATTCCCCTTGAGCTTGGGCATATTACTAGAAATTACACAACTGTTTCCCTCGCTAACTATGTTCTTTGTTCTTTGTTCTGAGCATCTAAATGATAGCCTTGTAATAGATAATAGTCATGCAGGTAAATGTTTATCTAAAGTAACTTCCCTTTGTTGGAATAAAAAGTGTGAATGGGTGTGTTGTTTTAATCCTGTTGTATAAAAATAATCTGTATTACTGTGCCTTGAAATTATTTATTAAACTGAAAGGAAAAATACAATATGTGAAATTAGATTTCTACTGAGAGCTATTGGAAGAATTTGTAAAGAGTGAAGAATCAGAAGGGGTCAGTGAAAAATACTCATTTTTTTTTTATCAGATTCATAGAAAAGAAGAAAAAGGTAGGGAAATCAAGTAAGGTCCAAGGCTACACCAAAATACCAGCAGCTACTTGGAATAGCAGAGAAACGTGGAGGCCATTCTGAAGGAAATGCTTTTCTGGCACCATGGGCAGGGCAAGGTGTGGTTTTGTTAAAGGCATAGCAGGGAGAAGACACCCAGATCTTTCTGGAACTCTGCAATTATTCCAGCCCAGGACTCAGCACCTCTTTTTGTAGCTGGATGGAAGCAGGAGATGGAACATGACAGGTGTCCTTGCAATGTTATGGAGAAAGAGTCAGAGATGCGGAGAACTTCATTGTGAGTTTGACACGGGAGACAGTCGCTACAAGACTCGCAGTAGTTAGTGTGTTAAAGAGCCCTGTGATGTGTTGACTGGTAGCAAGAGTTGGGGAGAGAGGCTCTTCCAGAGAAGACCGTCCTCCTGTGGAAGAAAATAGGGTCTAAGTGGAAGTGACAGCCCTAAGGTGTGGAGCCCAGAAGACCTGGCACTGCTGGGAAACACGGATTTCAAATTAATTATAGAATCCTTCAAATAAAAAACGAATTTAGGAAAGGAGTCAGGTGAGAGGACTATACTGGGGGTTGAAGACAGAACCTTCAAGGACCATCAGATTAAAAGCCTGGCCAGCTCTCTAGAACATTTCTGCCCACCCTTTCTAGGGTCAGTTCAGCAAATTCAGGATATAAAAGACTTGCTAAGCAAGACTTTTGCTTAGCAGTCTGCCTGGCTCCTTCTAACTTACTCCTGCTGGTGGCAGTTGGAGAAAACTAAGCCATCAAATTAGCCACTTGAATTACCTTAAATATCAGGATAACACTGATTAAATTTATTTGCGAGAGAGGAAAATGCATTTTAAGCAGAAGGGTTTGGGAGGAAGAGGACAAGCCTTTCCCATAATCCAAGACATTCAGGTCCTGAAAACATGAGAATTAGCCCTCAGAAGGACAAGTCTTTCTATAAAATAATAAAACATCCAGTGCATTTGACAAAGTTGCAGTTCCAAGAAGCTTCCAGTTTGGTCCTGCTTTAAAAAACAAAATAGAAACAGAAAAAAAACAATAGTTTTCACAAGAAACAGAAAGAGAATTTCTTTGTGAATGGAGAAAATGCTTCTAGAGAGAACTTTTCCATTGTGGAAAGTTTACCCCACTCTCAAAGCCAATTTTTAGCTGGTTTCTATAGTGAAATTTGAACCTGAACTTACTATTTTTTTTTAATATTACTGGGAAAAGATCAGATACAGTAGGTTAAACAAACACACATAGTGTCATCAGGGGAAAGTGTGCCTCACCTCTTGGTGATGCAGAATACCTTCCACTGACTTCCCAAGTATTAATTCCTTGTTGAAAGCACGTTTCCTAGATAGACAATACTATCCTTCTTCACCACTCTCAGCTCCAGAAGGCTAGAGAGTCGTCAGTTTTTCGATGAATGTTATGCTGACATCATGCAAACCTCTTATCTTTGCAGAGAAGGCTGATGAGCATTGAACCTTGAGCCTCTTTTGTAACAAGCAGGACCGATGTGCCCACAGAGGGAATGAAGTATGGATGTGAAAGAACGGAGGCCCTACTGCTCCCTGACCAAGAGCAGACGCGAGAAAGAGCGGCGCTATACCAATTCCTCAGCAGACAATGAGGAGTGTAGGGTCCCCACGCAGAAGTCTTACAGCTCCAGTGAAACCTTGAAAGCTTTTGATCATGATTCCTCGAGGCTGCTTTATGGGAACAGAGTAAAAGATTTGGTTCACAGAGAAGCAGACGAATACACTAGACAAGGTAAGTCATGGTCCCAGCGCGACAAGGTGCCCTCCGATGTTGCTAACCTGTAGATGTCCCATTTTTCCCCCTCTAAGGTAACATGATTGTTTTCTGATTCTGATGTTCTGTGCACCAAGATGACTTTGGAGATATTAGATGATTGTAGACTTAGGTGATCGAGGTTAGAGGTGGAAAGCCACCCCACAGGCACTCTGGCCTCCAGACACAGCTGCCCACACAGGCAGAGCATCATTCTGAGGAGCCACATTTCGTGTGTGAGGTTTATGGTTCATGGCCAAAGTGTGCATGAACTTGAAAGTCTAGTCCAGTGTTTTTCAACCTTTATTATCTCAGGCACACTTGAACCAACAATTGAACTTCCATGGTACGCTTAAATGATGATTAAAGACAGAGAGATAAAAATAAAAGAATACACTTACTGTGCTTTGAAGTTCTTTCCAAAATAATTTAATGAATGAGCTTTAAAAATTTTTGTGACACACCTAAGATCCTCTCACAGCACACGAGTTGAAAATAACTGCTCTGAGTCTCTTGGGATCTTTTATTGAAGGGACCCACAAACATTTCTGTAGTTAACCAGTGCAGGAACAGTTTGGTGGGGAAACTCATCTTTCCCTCCTAAGAAACAAAGAATTATAATTCTCGATTATTTCATGATCCATCCAGCTCTGCTGTTGGTCTCTGCCTGTTTTACACAAGAAACTGCCATGGAAGGACAGTTCCATTTTCTTTCTTTCTTTTTTCTTCCTCTTCTTTTTTTTTTTTTTTTTTTTTTTTTGACAGAGTCTCACTCTGTCCCCCTGGTTAGAGTCAAGCCTCTTGCCTCAGCCTCCCAAATAGCTGGAACTACAGGTACCTGTCACCATGCCAAGCTCTTTTTCTATTTTTAGTAGAAACAGGGATGTGCTCTTGCCCGGGCTGGTCTTGAACTACTGAGCTCAAATAATCCTCCAGCCTCGGCCTCTCAGAGTGCTGGGATTATAGGCGTGAGCCACCAGGTCTGGCCTAAAGGTTCCATTTTCTTTTTCCAAGCAAGTATATTAAGATTACACCTTAAAACATTCACATATGAGTATTTGTTAAACATTTTTACACTCTGGTTTTCTATCTGCATAGCCTACCAGTGGAATAATGACTTCTCTAAGTTCACAACCTGAAACCTACTGGTTTCAACACTTTCAGCAACAGCTTACTTCATATTAGTTGCTTGAGATATGGGCAAGATTACTACTAATAAAAATAAAATCCTCTTACATTTGCAATGTGTGATATAATTTACTTAGAATTTAGCATCCCTTTGCTAATTTAATCTGAAAATGGAGAAAAATAAATTAGACTTTAATAATAAAGAATATATCCAATCACCTTACAGGCCGAGTGACTAACGGTTGGACAGGAACACATTTAAGAAAAGTGATAATGCGATAAATCGTTCAAAAGTTTGGAAATTATCCACGATTCTTTTCTTTCCTGCGTTGTGCACAGGGCCAGTCTAACTAGATTGAAATCGCGTTCACTCACCCACACCAGTTTGCATCAAAGAAAACTCATTGCATTTGCTAAGGAGAGAGATTTTTTCCCCCTTACAACTTGCCTTACTAATGACTGGTGTCAAATTTTCTGGAAAGGGGAAAAAAAAGTAACATCTTAAAACCATTTTTAGAGGACATAGAGAATGCTTATCTGAGATAGTTACTCTGGGTAAGTCAAGGGGCTTTAGATGATTGTGAAATGTCTTAGAATTCTGAACCCAATTCTGTTTATTTCATATTATCTGCACAACTGAAATAGGTCCTCAATGGACCGTTTTCCTCAATTAAAAAAAATGTGATCTGAACTGAATGTGAAGGCATGCTTTTTGTAACAAAAATAACTTTAGTACCCTATGGGGGAAAAATAAAGCTCAATCCTTACAGTGCGGAATATCATTAGGAAGGAAAAGCACCCGTGGCGGGCGGAGTGGCGGGGGCTGGTCCACGCCCCACCCCCCTTGATTTGGCAGAGCAGACGGTGCTCGCCTGGGGTGGAAACAGGGCCCTCAAGGGCTCCCCTCCCGGGCAGCCTGAGTCCAGTGCAGCCTTCACAGATGGCCCCGGGATGCCATCTGTGGAATCCCTGACTCTGAAGTTCTTAGGGGACGGAAGAGCACGATTGCTCAGCTCAGGGCCAGCCCCGGCCTGGAGAAGGCCAAGGGGCGAGGACAGCGAGAGTTGGGGGCGGCTGGCGGGGAGAGGGTCCTGAGACCAGGCTGCCAAGCAGAAGTGGGGGGCAAGGCCACCGGTCGTGGGCGCTGCCGCGGTTCACTCCACAAATTTCTAAATCGGAATTAATTAAAAACGGAAACGGCAAGGGCCGGCTAATGCCCCCTGCCTCTTTACCGCCCACCCCTCGGTGTGCTAAGCAGGCATGTGCATGGACGCCTGGGAGGTGGGTCCCAAGATTATCCTTCTGTCACAGATTGAGCATTTGAGGCTGGACAGCTCAAAGGTCACTTGGCTCGTGGGAGCTGAGCTGGCATTTGAACCCAGGCCCCTCTGTCCCTGACACTCAGGTCCCTTATAATTTCCTGTGCAACTGCCAAAGTAGAAAATAGCCAGTTGAGTATAATACTTGACCTGTGGTTTATTGGAGTTACTTTCAGTCAATTTTGGGATTAAAATGAGGAAGACAGGTGGAAGTGGTGGCTCATGCCTGTAATCCCAGCGCTCTGGGAGCCCCAGGTGGGAGGTTTGCTTGAGCTCAGGAGTTTGAGACCAGCCTGAGCAAGAAGACCTTGTCTCTACTAAAACTAGCCAGATGTGGTGGTGGGTGCCTATCGTCCCAGCTACTGGGGAGGCTGAGGCAGGAGGATCACTTGGGCCTGGGAGTTTGAGGTTACTGTGAGCTATGACGCCATGGCACTCTACCCAGGGTGACAGAGTGCGACTGTCTAAAATAAATAAATAAAATAAAATGGTGATGGCATGGTTGGTGAGAAGTGAGCAAACTCAGGACGTACTTAGGAAGTAAAATACACCATGATTTTATAAGTGGGCAGATGAGGAGGAGGGCCCGGGAGGCCTGCCGGTTCTTTTGTTCCTGTGGTTTGAAGTGGAGAGTGTTCAGAGCAGGAGAGATGCGAATAAAGGAAATTCTGCTATCAGATTATGTTTTTCTTGAGCAAGCACAATCCAGAATCCTTCCAGGCTTTCATTTTCTTTGAACCTGACAAATGTCAATTTTTCCTCCCCGACTGTTATGCTGCAGGATTAATTATTTAATTGACAAAATGTGCTTCCTGCCATAGCTCTTGACATCATCCACGTAATAAAAATGAAAGATTAAAAATATTAATAGTAGCCAAAATGTCTTTGAAACAGTTCCAAAGAATCATGCTAATGTAGCTTGTCCATGGAGTTTTTAAACTGTATCAAACCCATAGCCACTTACTCCTCAGAGGACACAGGAAAAGGCAGCATTGGCTGGAAGGACAAGGGATGAACAGAGACCCCGGTAGTGCAACTACACGGAGAATTCAGATCAAGAAATAGGATGTTTTTATTTTTATTGGCCAATTTGATGTCTCATTATCAAACCTGATTTTAATTATTTTTTATGGCTTTACTGAGTGACAGGTGATTGCTGATAATTACATGTTATTTTTAGATCTTGTAAACCTGGGGATGATTTTATTTTCACAGGGATGTGTAATTTGGCTGGATCTCTTGTAGATCTCTTTCTCTCTCTCTTTTTAAATCTCTTCATGTGGCTTATTGATGATGGAAACAGTTGCCCTCCATAGGTGGGATGGGGTTCGGGTAACAATTTTCGTTTTGCATTCTTGGATACTAGAATGCCTATCAGCTCCAACAAGGAATGCTGGCCAGGAGGGTGAACATTGAAAAGAAGTGCTTTCTAAAACTAAGAATACATCTGTTTCACTGAACGATACGCCTCCGAAGAACCAGCTCTGAGACAGTTCTAACCCACAGTGTTCAAAGAGTTCATCAGTGTGGGGATTGAGGGTTTCTGAATTTACAAATGAAAATGCCATTTATTACGTATTTGTAACATGGCAATGGAGAGGAAGGTCATCTGTTTTGAAATTTGAAAGACAACATTACATCTATGTTTATACATAACTGAAATCAAAATAGGAAATAAATTTGGGAAGAAGAAAAAGGAAGGAGGAAGCAGATTGACAAACAGGCACCAACTGATTTCCAAGAGGGGCTCACCTGGGGTCTCCCTGCCCGCAGGACTCCACTCCCAGAAACTCCTCCTTTTCCTGTTTGGAACTTGCCTTCTCTCTCTCTTTTTTTTTCTCACTCTGTCCCTGAGGTAGAGTGCTGTGGTGCCATGGCTCACAACAACCTTAAATTCTGGGCTCCAGCAATCCTCCTCCCCCAGCTTCCTGAGTAGCTGGCACTACAGGCACCCACCACCATGCCCAGGTAGTTTTTCTATTTTTAGTAGAGATGAAGTCTTGCTCTTGCTCAGCCTGGTCTTGAAACCCTGAGCTCAAGAGATCCTCCTGCCTCAGCCTCCCAGAGTGCTGGGATTACAGGCATGAGCCGCCACGGCCAGCCTCTCCTCTTCATTCTTAACATCATCAGATGTGCTCAGCTGTCCCCAGCTCCCATGAAAATGGCTTGTGCTTCTCATCTCATTCCAGTGCTGGTCCAAGGCCACCAAGTGTCATTGGGGGATTCTACTGGGGAGGGGAAAGAGAGAGAAGAGGGGCCCTGATTCCTCGCAGGTGGGCTGCAGCCTGAACACAAGCCCGCCTTTTATACAGACTTTGCACGGGCCTCGTATCGTGGATAGCTCTCTCCTGTGAAGAAACAGAGGACATGAAAGGAGCAGTCAGAGTTTTCCAGCGTGTGTGTGTTCAGAATCCTGGCGCCATGGTGGCTTGAATGATGATGTCTCATCCCCTCATCTCTCAGCTGACTATTCCCCTCTTCTGAGCTAAGCAGCACTCAAGGATACAGTAAGATCTGTACCTACTAAGATCC